CCATTAACGCGGGAGGTGTTTCTGCCTCCTGCGGGGAGGCTCTGGAAGCTGCCGACGGAAGGATATTCTGTTACGTGCTGCCAAAATAGCCTCTGCCTCCCTTCAGCCCCTCGCTGGGCACCAGCGAATGTGGGAGGGGGTGGTAGCCAGAGCCCTGTGGGTGGGCTGGTAACTCGCGGGGTGGAAGGAGCCCTGCGAGCAAGGGCAGTGTGCCCGTGTGCTGCCTTACGTAAAACCGCCGTCGGCAGCGGCTCCTCGGCAAGGTTCCAGCTGCGGCAGATGACCTCTTCAGTTCAGAGCGTGCGTTTCGCTTCCCGCTGGCTTGCTTCGAACAAAGTCTTTCTTGTCTCTGCAGGACGCCATGGCTACTCTCAAGGAGAAGCTGATGACCCCTGTTGCTGCGGGAAGCACGGTCCCGAACAACAAGATAACTGTTGTGGGGGTTGGACAGGTTGGGATGGCCTGTGCTATCAGCATCCTTGGAAAGGTACGGCTCAAGGACAACGTGGTGGTCAAGTTCCCGCTGCCGTAATGTTCTGCGTCGCCTCTTTGTCTTAGCAAATGGTGGGGAATTCGGTAGGTTAGTAGAGGAATGCATCACTTGCGGTTTGTGTAAGCAAGCAGTGACCTACACCCTTCATGGAAGGCTGACCTCCCAATTCAGTTTCTCCTTGTTCTCTCGCCTTCCCCTCTGTGCTGAGCAATAAATTGCTCATTGGGCAGAGTTATTTTGCAGGCTGCTGGGAAAATGTACCGAGCAATGACTCCGAAGCCCCTGCTGAATTTTTCTTTTGCTTTTTAATTTTCTTATTCTTTCAAAACAAAGCTAGAGTTTGCTTGGTGGGAGAGCTCTGCTGGGCAAGGAATGCAGGCAGAGCAGAAATCCATGTGAAATATGGGATAGGAATCGGAACTATGCGTGTTTGCCTTTTACTCTTCATGCATATGTGCAGTAATAGCTGAAAATACTCCTATCCCCTTCAGTAGGCTTCTTTATTTCACTTAAACTGTTACTGCTTGGTTGTATGACTTCATTGTTTCCAGAGAGGTTTTTAACTAGCTTTTGGAAAACTAAAAATAGCAGGCTAGACTTACAGGTTTTTTTGACTTTTCCTGTTACTCGTTTCTGGGATGTGTTTTTTGGCAAATCTCATGTTGCAGTCTGAGCAAAGCAAAGGCTTATTATGCAATAAGGATCTCTTGTACTTTGTTTTTAGAGAATATTGTGAACGAGTTAAATTTGTTTCCTCTCTCTTTTTGAAAAGACAAATGGGAGCTGCAGATTTTTTTTAAAAGAAGACATAAACAGATATGCCCTAGCCACTTGTAGGGACAGATCTTAAATCAGGTAGCTCACAGTGAGATCAAAAATCTTGCATGTACTACTAAACTGGCTGCATTTTATTTGGAGATGATCCTTCTACCTATTACCTTGAGGATGCATGTTTTAAAGTACTGGGTTTTTAAGCATTAAAAAAAACTTTAAGGGTTTTCATTTGCTGATATTCATGAACCTTGTGAGCAACAAAAAACTGAGAATGAGGCCACTGTGAAACTAAGTACTGATGTGAAAGTACCAAATAGTTTTTAAAACTGTGTAACTAAAGGAGAAATTTAATGGAAAAACAATGGCACTTCATTGTGGGTCTTTATATTTCTATTTTTTTAAGCAAATATTTGCCTCCTGTGGTCTGAACTTACTTGTTTTTGAAGGAGTACTGTAACCTGTAAGGTTGGCAGTGAGGCAGCTGGGTGAAGTTACTACAAACCTCACTACAATCCAGCATTCATCTGTGTTTAACATGCTTCTCTAAGCGGGATCAAATTGTGCTTTCAGAAATCTAGGTATAAAGTTTTACTATTAATAATTATTTACTATATTTACTATTTGTATGGACCAAACCCAGCGTAAAAACTGGTTTTAAATATTTCAAGCTTGGATTATGGCATGGAGTTAATTTCAACCAGACTTCGGCTGTCTTTTACACTCTCACAAGTATAAGCTGCAGTATAAAACATTTTTATAACAAAACCATCTGATTCTCATCACTGAATTAGATGTGGCTTTGACTTATGCAAGATGGTTGGCTCCCCAAGATGTTTTTTGTTAAACGTGGTGTAAAATTTTGTGCTTAATTTCCTATACTTTAATATGTAGATGCAGTTGAGTTTCAGATGGCTTTGAATTTTATAAAATTAAACAGTGTGATAATACTAATTTCAGTTTACTGGTGTAGTATTCAATGCATAAACTTGAATGACACTAGAACTTCCATGTTAGTTTATCTTTAGCTCCCTCTGAGACAAGTCACTGATGTTGCTGTACTGTTTTAGAAATGGAAACATCTCTACAGTCACAAGTCAGCTGTTTTCAATGAGAATATTTTAAGCTGCATTTGGTGATTGTGTAGACTTCATTCCTCTGTGTACCAATGATGAGCTGAATTCTTCCCTAGGCAACGCTTATGCAAATTGATGAAATTAGTTGTTGGAGCTATTCCAGGTGCTCTTGTGTTTCAGTGAGAACTGGCTCCTTGAACCTGCTTGAGTCTGAGTATTAGTTGCAAGGTCTAGACTCAAAGCCCCATAATTGTCAGATTGTGCATGTATAAATCTATCCATAACTGCACATGTGCACACATTCTTTTTCAAATTCCAATTCCACTAGCTTCTTAGTTTAACACCAGTGACTTCAGTTAAGGATACTTTTCCATAATGTTTAAAAAACTGAGACTTTAATTTTATCTTGAGACTAGTTTGAAAACAGAGCATGTGCAGATACAGATTCTTATGGTTTTCATCCAGTGGTTCAAAAATCAAATCAGCTGTGAAAGAAAGCAATGCAGAAAAGCAATAAACTATTTTAAAGTATGAAATAAACTTAAATATACCTGTTGTTAAATATTTTTTTCCTCAGGAAAAACAGTGCATATTGTTGTATGTTTAAAGTAGTCTAGTTGATGCTAATTATTAATATTTCCATGTGAATTAATATATAAAAGTAGACAGAGAAGCTTGCTTGCAGTAGTATTTTCAATAGCATAAAAATGGCTTATCTGCTTTCAAATGGGGTGTAGATACCTAGAATAAGTAGTAGTTTGAATCTCAGTATAATTTACTGAATGATAAGCCTTCAGGTATAGTTGAATTTACAAGGGTGGTAAACACTGTCAAAAGGCAGTAAAAATTTACATTAGAGCATTAGGCCTTTTTCTTCTACCCCTATATTTCATTGTTTCCCTGTTCTGAGACTATATGACATTATCTCCCAACTTAACCTGGCTGGACAACAAGAATACATGGCTAAATCTGTTCTGCAAAGTAAATGTAATGTAGTAGCTCTAGTAGAGAAAAAATAGGTAAAGAATCTGTTTTCTCTTGATACTGTTTTTAGTATTGAGGAAAATAAGTCTGTTCCCATCCTATATTTTCATAAAATGAATTGGTTGAAGGAATGTTATCAAAGAATACTTATTTGATAATTATGTGGTGTGTTCTATTAGGTATTTAAATATTTAAAATAGGCCTATTGCTGGATAGATTTAGAGGGTTTGTTACAGTTGTGAAAGATGCAGCTTTTTTCCTAGGATAACTAAATCATGAAGTGCTTGGCTAATGAAGGATTAGCTGTGTGCTCAAAGTCCCCACACACCTTTTTTGGAAAGTCTGGGGTTTATGAGCTTGTGCTGTAATAGCCTCTGACTTTGTTACTGTAAGGTGTGTTGGAACACCGAGATAGTTCTGTCCTACTGGTTTACCTTTTGAGAAGAGATGCTTTCAGATGTGTACTTGTTACTTTAAAATGTAATATAGGTCAACTCAGGGGTGACTTCAAAATGCAAGTTAACTGCTTCATTGACTCCTTCAAACTTACTGTTTTCAGGATCTTTGTGATGAGCTTGCTCTGGTTGATGTTTTGGAAGACAAACTAAAAGGAGAAATGATGGATCTACAGCACGGGAGCTTATTCCTTCGCACTCACAAGATTGTGGCAGACAAAGGTGAACTTCAGTTTCTTTAATACTGATGTTCTGTGAATTTACTTCATACTGGAGCATTAGTTGTATAATCCTAAAGGACTCTTAAGGATTTGGTATTGAAAAGTTAAAGTATATGAACTACAGTGAGAGTTCAGATGAACACCATAACAACGGGAGTGGCTCTTAATCTGGGCTTTCTTTTACATCTCTGTGGCTTGTTGAATAAAATTGATTTTAATGGAACTGTAGTACCACTTTGCTGTAGAAGAAATATTATTGTTTGGATAGTGGAAATGAGGTTCAGAGGGGTGGAATGTACTCTCAAGACCCACATACTGATATACCAGGACAATGTTAAGAAACGGCGCTGGCCTTAGTATTGATGTCTCATGGTTTTTGAATGTATGCACAGTGGAGAAGATACCCATAATACCTGTATGAACACAGTACTGTTGAAATTAGTGGTAAGTCTAACACGTTCTATATTTTCTCTTCCATGCTTTGTTGTAGACTATGCTGTCACAGCCAACTCTAAGATTGTGGTAGTAACTGCAGGAGTTCGTCAGCAAGAGGGGGAGAGTCGTCTCAACCTGGTTCAGAGGAATGTGAATGTCTTCAAATTTATCATTCCTCAGATCATCAAATACAGCCCCAACTGCACCATCCTTGTGGTTTCCAACCCAGGTAAGGCAATCTTTCCTAGAACACGTACAAATTCTATTTGTTGGAGAACTAGTGTTCTGGTTTCTCAATCTTCTCAAATACAAATTGAATGTTGAAAATTAATGGCTTTGTGTGGACATCTGCCATGTACTTGCTAACAGCAGAATACAAACAAATATTCTGTACTTTCTGATACTCTCTTTATTCAAACTTCCTATGGTGTCTATATTTCAAAAGCATGCCTCATGGTAAAAATATCAGTTCTTTACATACTCTGGCTTAAGCAGTAGGTAGTTGAAAATTGTTATCTCCAACAGACATCCATTTTGCTTTTAAATTGTTTGTAATCATAACTTTTGTCCGAATATATGGCTGTTTTTCAGGATGAAGAATTAGCCCTATAGTCTTGGCTCTATTTTCAGGGAATATATTTTTCAGGAATCTGCATGCTGAAGCCTGTGGTGGGGGGAAAGGCTAGCTGTACTACATAGTTCAGTTAGATTAGAAAAGACTTAGTTATAACTGATTACATGTATTTGTGTGCTCACTCGCAAACATCTCATTGCACTGGGACAGATTGGTTATTTGGATGTCTAAAACTGACTGTAAACATTCCGATATGCTATGTAGGGTGTCTCTGTAGGGCTGCCTTTGCTTGATTCAACATCTGAGTGAAGCCATTACCACAGAACCCTGGCAATGAATTGACACTGCTTTTAAAGATAACTTGGCAGAGTCAACACAGTGCATGTAAAGCTAGCAACTCAGCTGGTGGTTGAATAATTGGCTGGTGTACAATTAGTACTACTGAATACTACTGTGCAAGTAAAATAACTTACGGCAATTTCAAACACTTATCTAAAAGTTGAACTGAATCAAATTGTTCTTGTTCTAGCAAGGCTCAATTCAAACTATAAACTGCTCTCCAGTAGAGCAGCTGCAGGAGGAGAATTGCATGTTGCTTTTCAGAATGATTTTTATTGTGCTTTGTTTTCTCAATGTGTAGAGCTTTGTCCACTAGTTTTACATAGTAGAAGTTACTGTGAGCCCTTTAAAAGGGACTTCAGGGGTGCCCACTGCATGTGCGTTGGTGTGTGATCTTGATATCCTTCCCTGTTTAACTTTCCTGGATTTGTCTGGGCTCTAGCTCAGATAGCACTGTCCACACAGCCTGTCCTGTGGAAAGGCCTACTGTAGGCAAATGATAGATTACAAAGCAGAGCTCAAAGTCCAGATGCATGTCTCAGCACCTGACTTGAAAGCCAGACTGTCCGGAGCAATGGTAGCTGTTTGACAGGGCAATGCTCTGTAGTTTAGTACAGACTACTGTGATTCTGGCAGGCACTGCCCCAACTGAAGCTGTAGGGAGGCTATGCCTGGTGAGCATGCCACCTGCAATAGCAAGGTGTGAACTGGACTGAGATGGTGTGCTTTTGGTACCTGAGCAGAGCAAATGATATGTTTCAGATCTATATACATAAATATATTCCCTCCTGAGAACTGGCTGGCTTTTGAGAGTTTTGGAGCCATAATTATTGCAGCCTGTTTATTATTAATAGAAATAATTAATTATTGCAAGTCTGTTGCTTTGAGCTGTGGATTAGAGGTTTTTCCTTCTGCTCGCATGCCCCTCTGTCTGCCCCATCCTAGGTTTGTTTTTCCCTAAAAATGTATTTAGAGCCACATGCAGCTAAGGTGAATTGCTTACCTGGCTTTTCATGCTACAGAGGTAATCAGAGCATGAATCTGTTCAAGAAATTAAATTGAAGTAGTTACCAGCTAGAAATAGAATATATAAATCTCAAACATGTTTACAAAATTGTAAATTGCTTAAACCTCTTATTGTGATGAAGTAGAAGGTAACATCACTTTAGGAAATGGCTTGTTTTAGCCCCATGAGTTTAGTCCTAGTTCTGGATGCACTAGGGGTTTAGCTGTGACAAAGTGCCTCAACGTTAGCTAGTAGGATACTGTGGACGTTGTCTACCTGGACTTTAG